TATATATATTATATATATATATATTATATATATATATATATATATATATATATATATATATATATATATATATATATATATATATATATATATATATATATATATATATATATATATATATAAAAATTTGTGAGGGTACCACCTCTGGTGCCAATGTGGGGACCCATAGCCTCGGAGAAGAAAATAAAAAGTATTCAGAGGAGACCTTGTGGTTTCTCACTGAACATTAATATTATCTTCTACCACCCCCATTCTTGTGTATGTACACATATATATTTGCTTTATTTGAACTTTGTTACAAAAAAGGAGTTACATATAGGTTACAAAGATGGTTATCATAGGTTGTCGAGTTCCTCCAGCTCCTCAGATGGCAGGCAGGAACCCTGGATGCAGTGCGCATTTCCCCTCTGTATCGCCACGCTGAGGCGCTGGAAAAAAAAGCTGGCAGCTCTAGGGTCCCTTGTTGCTTCAATGAGCCTAGAACCCAGTTCCTTCAAAAAACTGGTAGCACTTTTACCCCAGGCGCCGAGTGTCTCGGAAGCAATGGGGACAAAATTGTAGTGGTGATCCAGTTCTCTATACTTACGGGATTTGGCTGCTTCCCTGTGGGTGGCAGCGCCACTTGGTTGTGCAACACTGAGGTTAATGTAGGTGTTAGCCAGGGTTGATACGCACGTGTAGTCCCATACCAAGTGCTTGCCATTCTTCCAGGGGTTCACTGTGATTCCATCCGGGCGACCAATAAGAGTATCAGAGTTACGGGGCGTTAGGTAACGGGGCTCTCTTTCAGCTGGGCATCCAGCTGTGGTGAGGCTCCTCTTGATGATGTCGTTAACTTCACTATATGTCGTTTATATATATATATATATATATATATATATATATATATATATATATATATATATATATATATATATATATATATATATATATATATATATATACATATATATATATATACACATATATACATACATACATACACACACACACACACGGGAGCCGTGGTCGAGCGGACAGCACGCTGGACACGTGATCCTGTGGTCCCGGGTTCGATCCCGGGCGCCGGCGAGAAACGATGGGCAGTTTCTTTCACCCTATGCCCCTGTTACCTAGCAGTAAATAGGTACCTGGGAGTTAGTCAGCTGTCACGGGCTGATTCCTGGTGTGTGTGTGGGGGGGGGGGATGGGGAAAAAAAGGAAAAAAAAAGACAGTTGATTGACAGTTGAGAGACGGGCCGAAAGAGCAGAGCTCAACCCCCGCAAGCACAACTAGGTGAACACATTGCGTACTTGCATACGCAATGTGTTCGCGTCTTTATAGTCTTTGAAAGAGTCAGGGAACGTTTCTACGTTTACCTAGAGAATACAGGAAACTTTAGTGCACGTTAAAAAAAAAAAAAACTGGAAGCTATAATGGGGTATTAGAAAGCCAAGGAACGTATACTTGTCGAGTTTTTGACACGGAGGGCAAGCCTCTGTGTCGTACAAGACTAGGAAAATGTTGAAATGTTTTCGGAAAGGAAAGAGACGCTGCCTGCTGGCGTGACTGAAGAAGGCAAGTGAGGACGAGCACAGTCAAACGCACTTCCATGCACTCAAAAATGATCCGTCTTGAAAGCACTCAAGAATGATCCGTCTTGAAAGCACTCAAGAATGATCCGTCTTGAAAGCACTCAAGAATGATCCGTCTTGAAAGCACTCAAGAATGATCCGTCTTGAAAGCACTCAATTACAACGAGTGCTTTTCTCGCGGCATCATGCACTCGCTAACAACAACTCAATCACTAAATACTTATATATAGAATTAAAAAAAAACACATTTAAAGAAAACATTATTATGCAACGCCTTCCCCCTAGCAAGCACACAAACAGAAGAAGCCTCCACAAACGCGCCAAGAGAAGGGAGCTAAATCTCCCACAAGCGGCCACACACACAGGACGATGCTGGTAGCATTTACAAGCTCGCATAAAACACAGGACAGACGACTTCCTTAGGTCCAACAAACATGCACAAGCACGCACGCCGATTGTCGTTTTCTCACGACGGCAAGCACGCCATATTGCTGTGGGGGGGAGGGGGGGGGGAAGGGGGGGACTCATACTATCATGCATGCTCACGATCGTCAAACAACACCTTCGAGGTCGATCGCGATTTTTTTTTTTTAGATGATGCTCACGAACGCGAAACGGCCCAGAAAGAAACTCGGGTAAGCGTTCGAACTCTCACGAATAGGGCGGTCGAGTAGGCGAATGGGTTTGTATCCATGCGAACACGTGCGTGGATACGAATGTGTGTGTGTGTATGCGAGGCATGAAGGCGTTCGCACGAACGCGTTCACGTTCCTGACAAAAAAAAAAGACTTGCGCACACGAATTCGCTGATGCGTGCAAACAAGGCGTTTCACACGAAGAAGCCCATGTATTGTGAACAAGCTCTCACACACACACACACACACACACACACACACACACACACACACACACACACACACACACACACACACACACACACACACACACGCGTACGTGACCACGCTCGTGCACACGCGCGCACGTTCATGCATACTAATGAACGCGTCCATGAGTGCAATCACCCGCACGAACATACAAGATGGTGTATGAGGATCATTAAACACGCGTTTGGTTCATTAGTGTTTTGGTGTATGTGTGTATTTTTGGGGATGATGTTGGAGAGATGGGGAGGTAAGAAATTTATGATTATTATGATTAGTTATTAGTATTTAGCCTTTTCCATCACATAAAGCCTTCGACAAGCCGCCGGCTTCCTGTCTTCAGGTCAAGGTAAAACATACGCAATGGAAACCACACTTGAACGTTTCCTTCTATCCCTCCATAGCCATATAGATCTGTCGCCATACATCACATAGTTCAGTGATTTTATTGAGCAATCAACCACAGGTTCTGATCTGAAGTGCTTGTACGTGGCCAACACACACACACAGATACATATACACTTGTGTGTGTGTGCCCTACAGAAAGTGTTGGTTGATATGTACTCATACACAAGGCGATTAATGTGCTGTTTACAAAGGTGATTTGAAATTCTTACCAACTTCGACATACACATACACATACATTTTTTTTAGCTTATTTTATTTACATATAATTCGGTTAATAAAATAATATGGTAAAGTAGCCTCTGGGCCACCCTAAATATACTCATTACATTATATATATATATATATATATATATATATATATATATATATATATATATATATATATATATGTCGTACCTAGTAGCCAGAATGCACTTCTCAGCCTACAATGCAAGGCCCGATTTGCATAATAAGCCAGGTTTTCCTGAATTAATATATTTTCTATCATTTTTTTCTTATGAAATGATAAAGTTACCCATTTCATTATGTATGAGGTCAATTTTTTTTTATTGGAGTTAAAATTAACGTAGATATATGACCGAACCTAACCAACCCTACCTAACCTAACCTATCTTTATAGGTTAGGTTAGGTAGCCGAAAAAGTTAGGTTAGGTTAGGTAGGTTAGGTAGTCGAAAAACAATTAATTCATGAAAACTTGGCTTATTAGGCAAATCGGGCCTTGCATAGTAGGCTGAGAAGTGCGTTCTGGCTACTAGGTACGACATATATATATATATATATATATATATATATATATATATATATATATATATATATATATATATATATATATATACTCTCCTACTGTGGCAAGATAAGATAGCTGCTATAGAAACTAGTGTGTTATTAAGTACTTAAAGTTACACAACCTGGAGCTCCCCTCCCCCCCCCTCCTGAACCCGGTAAGAAGCTTGTCACATCGAGCGGTTCCCAGTCCAATTTTGACATGTATCCCACATACTCTCTAGTGCAGTATGTACCAGAAATAAAAATGTATATAAATCTAAAGTATATTAATCAAATGAACAAATCCACAAGGGCCGTGACGAGGGTTCGAACCTACGTCCTAGAGGATTCGAGACGCTGCATTAATCTAAGCCACGACATGGTAAAAAGAACTGCAACCGGGGAAATCAATCTGATTTACCAACGGTTCCTCTCGGACGTAGGTTCGAACCTTCGTCACGGCTCTTGTGGATTTGTTCATTTGATGCATCACGCTATTGTGATTTCTGTGTGTAGTGTAGTGTATATTAAACAACATTACTCGATATATCTATGCTTCAAAGATTCCCTCATAGATTCATCATGTGGTTGAGATTCCAGTGTGTATAGTGATAGTTATATTTTAAATAAATACTTTTGTGGCACCAGAAAGGCTATAATAAATTGTCGTAAATATCTCACTTAAAACAGCTAAATCCAAATCCATTTGCTCATCAGTTTTTTTTACTTGATATTAAGTTGAGGCTGATAAGGCACCTAAGATACTAATGGCCTAATTCTAGCTATATGTACGTTATTTTAGATGTCATAGTCTCTAAGGTCCAAATTGTAATGGCTTAATGCAGTAATAATGTCACAGCTTGTAAGCTCCATCGGACTAATGAGCATCAGCTTGGCTTGGTTAGGCAAGATGGTCACGCTTCTGACGTTCAATGTTAGACAACACTCACTTCAAATAGTCCATCAATGAGACATGAAATGATTAATATAGCTCAGCTGCTGAGTTGTTGACCAAATGTTTACATCTGAGGCATAACTGGCCGAACCCTCACAGTGTTCAAGAGAGAACTGGATAAGCACCTCCAAAGGATACCTGATCAACCAGGCTGTGACTCATACGTCAGGCTGCGAGCAGCCGCGTCCAACAGCCTGGTTGATCAGTCCGGCAACCAGGAGGCCTGGTCGACGACCGGGCCGCGGGGACGCTAAGCCCCGGAAGCACCTCAAGGTATCTGTAATAGTAGTAGTAGGCAGCCATCACTCTCAGGCGACTATGGTGTTACGCTCTTGTTGTCGGTCTGGAGTGGCCTCTCCAGGGTAGGTTGATACGGAGGAGAGAAGCTGTTACCCATGCAGCAGGTCCCACTCACGAGTGTTTAGAGGTAAGTCTTGTGTTATTCGCTACAAGACCATCTTCTTGGACTGGACGGTAGAGCGGCATCTTAGCTTCCTGCAGGGTCGGCGTTCAATCCCTGTATAGCCGTTCAAATTGGTTAAGCGCCATTTCTTTCCACCATGCTATGCCAAGTCCTCAGCCTCGTATCCCTTCTAAGCTCTTTTATTCTTAATGGCTTAGTGCTTGCTCCTGGAAATTACCTTTCATTATTTGTTCGAAGAATTTAAGTTTCTTAGTTAAGTGTCTTAGAATTTAAGTTTTAAGGAAGCCGGTCGGCCGTGCGGACAGCACACTGGATTTGGGATCCTGTGGTCCCGGATTCGATCCCAGGCGCCGGCGAGAAACATTGGGCAGAGTTTCTTTCACCCTATGCCCCTGTTACCTAGCAGTAAAATAGGTACCTGGGTGTTAGTCAGCTGTCACGGGCTGCTTCCTGGGGGTGGAGGCCTGAGCGAGGACCGGGCCGCGGGGACACTAAAGCCCCGAAATCAAGATAACCTCAAGTTTCTTATCAAAGTTTGCTTGTTTTGTCTTTCTTCCTTACTCTGTGCAATATATTGTTTATTCTGAAATCAATTTGGCTTGAAAGTGTGTGTCCAAATGATGTAATCTTGTTTTATTTTTTTTGGTGTTTAATCATACTTGTTTTTTTTTTTTTTAATTTTGTTCAATTTCATTTATGACGTACGAGCTTATGTTTCAACAGGCGATGTTGTGATAATTAGTGTTCATTTTACGTGTATCGTTATTTTTCGTAAATATCTGCAAGACAAGGAAATTTTGTTTAAGCAATAAGTGTTATCAACGCAATGTCAAGAGCACTAAACTCGTGTGCTGAACGAATACATTAGCACACAGCAAGTAAAAAAAAAAGAGGAGAAAATCAAATACTATTTTTGCGTGCTTTTTCCACTTGGCCAAATGAGGCAATTTAATCTTGCAAAATCTAGCAATTTGACACAATTAAATTTCAATTGCATAAATTTTCCACAACGGATAATTGTAATGCAATAACCTTGGTCAAAGGGTAGAAATGTTAATAGTGGTTACGTAACTCCAATGAGGTGTTATGGATTTTTCTTTTTCTTTTTTCTTACTCTCTCTCTCGTAGCGTTTTGCGTTTTGCTTATATTCAAAATTAGTGAATTTTGAAATAAATTATATTTAATAATAATTATCACGAATTTTTAAAATAAAAGTTATCTAGAATTATTTTAATAATTATCACGATTTTTTTAAATAAAAATTATCTAGAATTATTTTAATAATAATTATCACGATTTTTTTTAAATAAAAATTATCTAGAATTATTTTAATAATAATTATTACGAATTTTTTAAACAAAAGTTATCTAGAATTATTTTGATAATAATTATCACGATTTTTTTATACAAATTATCACGAATTCTTTTAATAAAAATTATCACAAATTCTTTTAATAAAAAATATCAAGAATGCTTTAAATAAAAATTAGCACTAATTCTTCGGACTGGACTATGAAAATAATATTGCAAGCAAGATAAAGCGACATATTACAAGAAAGTAACTAATTACGATGAGTAATCATAACACTATAATAATCATAACCTTTTAAAATACTCGACTTTTTTTTGCAACAAGAAATCACAGTTTATTGCAATAAAATAATATCTATTACCAAAATTTGCAATAAACTGCAACATTCTATATCTATAAGTGGGAGGGGTCGTCTTGTCTATCCAAGGTATGAGGCCCAGAGGCTTGTGGCTAGCCTTATGCAACTTTGCAAGATGACTAGTGATTGTATGGGGGAGTGTCATATAGCATAGTGGGTATCGACCCCGGTACCTCTCTTCACGAAGGATCGGCTCCTATTCAGAATCCGAGGGACTCCTTTCGAGTCTAAAATGTAGGTTTAATTTCCTATAGAAATGTTCATGAGATTTCCAGGTTTTTTGTGTCCTCAAAATGCTTTCGGAGTCTGCCAGTGCAGACTGCCTATCACATGCCTCTGTATGACTAGCCATTCTGTGTGATGGGGATTTTTAGCCCTCATAATCTAGCTTTTTGACGCACTGTACTTCCCTTCATATAGCCTAGGGTAGCTGAACAAATACAGATGTACCTAATGTGTTAATAAAAAAAAATTTCCTTTTAACTTTGTTAAAATGTTCCTTCAATGTAATAATAGTAAAAATAACGTTGTGCTTATGTTGCGTGTTTACTGGGTTTGTGTGTTCTGAGAGAAAGGGAAGAGGGTCAAAATAAAAGAAAGAAAATGAGGGAGAGGAGATGGTGAGGAGGTAAAAGGGGAGGAAGGGGGGGTGGAAAGTAGAATGAAGGGAGAAAGTGAAGAGGGGAAAAGGGTAAGTTGGGAAGATTTGGTTGGTAGGGGGGGGCGGAGTTAGGAAGAGTGGGGTAGAGTACGAATCGGGCACTTCATGGTGCCCCTTCTGTTTATCAACTAAACAGTCTCCCTCCAATCATGGAGGTCAGATGTTTGTGAGCAAAAGCCTCATTAAACTTTGCAGTAGTAAAGGGGATTTTATGGGGAGTGGTTGGTCGGCCACCATGCCCCCTCCTGAAGAGGGGTCAGCCCCTATACCCACTAAACGGAATCTGTGGATATGAACTGTGCCATCCACAGTCCGTCGAGTATAGTATTAGTTTAATATGTACTGAACTATTAATTAGCAAAACACATGTTCTGGGCCCAACCTTTAGGTTACAATGATGGAGATAGTATGTAGCTAAAATGCTTATGGTGATGGAGTAGACAGGGAAGGAATATGATGGAGATGAGAGAGTGAAAATGGTGGAAATGCGGAGTTTAAAGATAGGGGATGTTGTATATAGAGGGAGGATGTGTGTGTGTGTGTGTGGAGGGGGGGGGGAGTGTTGGGGGGGGGGGGTGTTCGGTGGGGGGAGAGAGTATCGGGGAGGGGGGGGGGAGATGGGGAGGGTCTTTGTGTGGGGAAAATGAATTGGGGTGGGTATGGGGGGGGGTGTTTGCGTCGGGTTGAAGAGTATATGTAAATGTATTAAGTATTCATACAACTCAAAAACAAATAACCTTTAAAATTGAATTGTTTTGGCCAACTATTTTCCTTGCTGCTCGTATTATTATTATTATTACTATTATTATTATTCACTCTTTTTGAGGTTCGAATCCCGGCAGGTATTCTCTAGCTCTCAGTCACAGGACACGTGACCTGTGACTATCAAGTGTTACTAATTAACAAAACTATAATTAATCAGTAATTTTAGGCTCTATATAGCTAGAGGTAACTTTATTGGAAGATGGATTTTATTATGTAAATCTGTTACAATTCTCACCACATCACACAACTGATCCCACACCAGTCACCTCTCCACATCACACACACCTGACCCCCACACCGGTCTCCTCCCTACATCACGGGGAGGGATGGAAGTGGGAAGGGAGAGGGGGGGGGGAGGGAAGGGGATGGTAGGAAGGGGTAGGGAGGGAGGGAGGGGGGTAGGAAGGGGGAGGGAAGGAGGGAGGGGGGTAAGAAGGGAGAGGGAGGGGGGGTAGGGAGGGAGGGGATGGAATGTGATGGAAGGAATAGAAGGGAAGAGGGAGGGAGGGAGGGAGGGAAGGGAAGGGAAAGACAGGGGGGGTTGGAAGGGGTAGGAAAGGAGGGAGAGAGGGATGGAGGCGGGAGGGGAAAGGGATGGAAGTGGGTAGGGAGGGACGGAAGTGGGTTGGGATGGAAGTGGGTAGGGAGGGACGGAAGCGAGGTAAGAGGCGGATGACAAAATTAATTAACGTCATTCTGCAATTTGTAATTAAAACTCAATGGCTAATTAGTCCATTTAATCGTCAAAATTCTGATCTCTTCCCACAAATTGGAGTCTCTCCTGCCTGCACTCCATTAAAATAGCCACATGTACTATTCGCGTTTTCAATCGAGTATTTTTCTCTATTTTCTGGTATGTATGAATGAATAAATAATAATAATAGTAGTAGTATTCATCTCTATTAGATGGTGTGTGAAAGGGAATTCTGAATGCTGAATAACTCTCCTCACAGTGTGTGCGTTTCTGGGTTTATAAACCACTATAATGAATGCTAAATGATGAAAACTCCCTGACATGCTGTACATTACTGGAGAAGCGGGTGTCAGGACAACTGTCACCTCGCCTGCCTGTATGCTGAGAGTACGTTTCTTCTCCGGGTGTGTTAAGTGTACAGTGTAGCCGGATGATGGGTGTGTTAAGTGTACAGTGTAGCCGGATGATGGGTGTTTGCTTTCAGGTGCGTTGCTTTACTTTTCAGTTTAAACAATGCATTGCTTCTGTTGAATAACTCGGTTTATGTACGTATAATTGACCTACTCCCCTCTCCCCAACCCACTTTTATATGAAGTAATTTCAACCATCTTCCGTGGTCGAGTGCTCAATAATTCATTGCACTAAATGTCATCTAACAGGTCTCTAACCTTGTCCACGAAGGGTGGATGTAAAGGTGTCTATGCTAGTTAGCAATGTATAAATAAAAAGCCACGTCTATATAGAATATAGTAAATTAAAAAAAAGGGCCTATGGGATTTAGTGTGAGAATGGCGCCCTGGAATGGATTCAACCACTGGCGGTAAAGATCAAGTTACTATTTGATGACACCTACAGGCTGCTTGTACATGGTAACCTCATTGCAAAGTTTTTCTTCTTTGCATTGGTAAAATAACAAAAGTACAAATACTATGATAAAACACCAACACACACATTCCCAACACCAATCACAAGCAACACTTCAGAGGAGCATAAGAAACACGTATCTTCCTTCAACTGAGTCAAACCATATATAAGACATGCAACTCAATGTAAACAGGAGATACCATATGCAGGCGATAGTCGACTTGAGAATGGTCCAGGACGGACCGAAACGTCGTCGTCCCTTCACCTTCTAGTGTGTGGTCTGGTCAACAGATACACCATGCCATCACCAGGCTAGCTAGTGGGTAGGCAACATAAGGTCACTCACCTTATAAGGTTTAGGGTCCTGGTGGTACAGTCACGCTTGTCCTCGTCTCTCAATCGAGACT